AGTTGGACGCTTGATAAATGCTCTGTTCCGCAATACGCGATCCGCTTTTCAGTTGGCAGTCAACTTGTTATCGTTGACTGCCCATCACTAAACAGAGTGCAGTACAGTTGCCCCGGGGCCAGACATGTTGCTTGCATCATAAGTCACACAGAGCTCTACACACACTCGACCACATGTGCTGTTTTGCCACATTCTTTGCCACAGTCACAGCAGCAGTTGTTGCGCCTCATTGGGTACCAAAGCTGAGGTTGCTCTGGCATTGGGGAGGAGAGATAGGTTTATATATACTGTGTATTTTGCTTTAGCAATTGCTGCTGTGTAGCGCTTGCGGGTAGAAGCCGACCGAAAATGTATGCTGTTCCGGCTGAATTGTAGATTTGGCCAGCGCACGTTTTCCACATACACATGTGTACATGTATGTTACTGGACTGCAGCGTCGTATGCACACACTTTAAAAGCCCGTTAAAAGTCCGATGAAATTATGACAGCTTTATGGGAAGTCGATTTAATGGCAAATCAAATGGCAGTAAGCGGCTTATTCCCTGCGCCTATCCGTTGACAATCGCCTGTCGTCCAGGATTTCATCGTCCAGCAAAAAACAAATAAACAAAAATAATGGCACCCGCACATAAATTACAAACTATTAAAGCATCGAAAGATATAATAATAATAATGAAAGGCTCGAGTTGTGCAAGTCGGTAACGCCCGACTTGAAAATACTCTCTATATGAGACTTGTTATTAACTTAAATCAATTTTGATTTTAAATGATATATCTATTTATAAAATATATAGTGATATATATAAAATATATATATATATATATATATATATAAAATATTAAAATAACTTTTTTCATTTTTCTGTAAATATATTATTATATATTAATTATTGATTACATTACAAACCTTCACTCATTAGTTTAATTGACATTAGAATAGATATAACTAATATGTCTGCCTGTAAAAAGCTTTCACATTGACTCATCATACCCAACCGTAATGACTACAGGGCATAAACAGCAAACGCATTTGGGCACAAAAATCGCTGCGTTTCACTTTGCCGGACGTTTCGCAGATAATTTGCGCACATAAATTAACCAAAGTTTTTGGCCGCACTACTGACCCACACGCACACACACACCCACCCACACAGAGAGACAATCGCACATTAGCTGAGCTTTGACTATTGGCTGCCGTCTGGGCCACATGGGTAAAATTAAAAATACTGCTGAATACTTTTCGGCCAGGCCAAAATTGCTTTCTGTGTTATGGCCATTAGTGAGTGCAGGCTCGCCGTTTCAGCTGGTATGCAATCTGTTAATTTTGGCCAGCTATGCTGTGTGCCTGCTACTGATATCTGTTACCGTTCCACAATCGTCCTAATATCCCTTTGCTCCCCTTCGCACTGCTGGTCATTTGAGCTCTGCGTCTTCATTGTGTATTGATGCGCCCTCATGTGAAATAATTGGCGCTGTTGTCCGATGGCGTTTAATAATTGTCTATGTATGTGTGTGCGTAAGTCAAGAGTCATGCTGGTGTTGCTGTCAAAGCTATTAACTTGTGAACTCTATTGTCAGACGGCTTAGCTTGCTGACTATGGCCTGAATCGTAGCTTAAAGGACATTCGCTTTAATATACCCAAGCAACGCTAATGAAAATTTCGATAAGTTTATTACTTTGATGAAGACACAATAATATTTGAATGACATATACATTTAAGCCGCAAATGTGATAATTATGTATTCCATTTAATGTTTAGATCTGATGTAATAAGATCTTTAAGATCTTTAAGCAATATTTATAATATCCAAATTCTCAGTAAACACTTTGCAATCATTTTTATGAGTTCACTTTATTTTTGAATAAACCTTTTTTATAATATTTTTTGTTTTCATTTTCATTTTTGTTTATATTAATATTAAATTTTATTTAGTTTTCTTTAGACATGTACCATTTTATTCATTTTTTAGATAATTATTTCAAAAATTTATTACACATTTTTAAAATAGTTTTAAAGTATTTCTCAATTACCAATTTCCGCTGTATCGGGTTTAAAATAGGAACCTAAAACACCTCACACTACTATACGTTTTCAATAAATAAATGTTATACTTAACAAATGAGAAACATTTTCCAAAAAGTTCCAAATCATTACAAATTAATTGAGAAATAATATTTTTAAGTTTTAAAACGGATCACAGCAAATTGTCTTGAATACCCAAATAATAAAAAAAAGTAAACAGAACGAGCAGATTATAAAATATTTGTTTAATAAAGTTATTGAGAATATTTCGAAGTAATTTTGTATTCTTTTGTTTTTGTTCCAAAAATTTATTTACATCAAAAACTTGTTTATATTTTGCTAAATTTGAACCAACTCTTGTGCTAAATAAAGTTTGAGTTGCATTTATCTTTAACTCTTATAATTTTATTATTTAACAAAACATACTTATCTAAATTTAATTCATTCTTATTTTTACAAATATTTTATGTAATTTTCTGACTTCAATATGGTTTTTATTTTCACTTTCAACTTTTTACAATTTATTTCATGTACTTAAGACGAAACGTTGAATTACAGGATGTGTTTGCCTCGCTTCTTTGAGTGTATGTGTGAGTGCGTGACGTGAAGGTACATACAAATGTGTGTGTGTGTGTGAGTTGTGTGGGGGAGTGCTGTGTGTGTGGGTGACTGTGTGTGGCTGTCTGTTGACGCTCTTTAGTTGATCTCTAAACGTTGCGCCTAGAACAAAGTTGTTCGTATTAGTTATGGGCGTGTGAATGTAGGCGTGTTTTATGTGGTTTTATCTTAAAATATAAAATTAAGTTTTAAACTAAGCAACAAATTGAATTTGTTGAGTATTTATTCCCCCATAGTAATAGTTTTGTTGTTGAGGCTCTATTTGTAGTTTATGTAATTGAAATTTCTTGTGGATGTTCTGGGGGTTGTTATTGTTGTTGTTGGTTGTTTGTTGCTTTTGTTATTGTTGCTGTTCTTGTTGTCTTTTTGGCATGCTTTTTTCTACTTGCTAAGCAAAAGTTTTGCTCTTTGTTTCTTTGAGTGAGGTGCCTTAAACTTAAAGGACTTGATAATAGGAGTTCTTTGTTGTTGTAGCTGAGAGCCTGCTGCTGTTGATAGACGCAGACTTTTTGGATATGTCTCATTATATATATATATAAAAATATATATATATATATATATATATATAAATATGGCTTACTTATGATGTTTTTCTAGACAAACTGTGTGCCCTGAAGTGGAGCCTGTGAAAAGTAGAGAAAAGCAGAGGATGTTAAAAGTCATTTAGAAGTGCTACAAGTTGTTCAAATAAATATTATTATAAGACTAAAATATTTAGAAAAATAGAAACGTTTAAGCAGTAAATTTAACATTCATAACTTTTTAACTAAATAAAATGTTTACTAAATATACTAAATAAAAAATATATAATAAAGTAAAATACTTAAGGTAAATAAAAATTTAGAAAAAAATAGTCAATATATATATTTTTAATAGCTATTTAAAATATTAATTTAGGTATAAAAGCTTTTGATAAAATAAAAATATATTTAAATAAGAAATTTAAATTTATAAAATTATGTATTTTTTTAAATTTATTTATATTTTTGTAAAGGTTTTTATGGTATATAAATTTTATAATAATTACTTAGTATAGATTAATGTTTAAATAATAATTAGGTTAAATGCCATAAATATTGCAAGCATTAAGGGGATTATACAAAATTAAATTGAAAACATGATAAAGTAATTTTAAATTGCAAATTCCACGATTTATGAATGCGACAGAGAATAGATTAAATAATTATAGAATATTCAACAAAAGAAAAAATAAATAAACATAGATTTTCTACTCTACATTTGCATTAATTTGATATGATTTTTTGATTATGCAAATTTTGAGCGCAATGGGAAATCTCATTTAATGGCATTTTGTTTAATTTGGCATTATTATGCGCTCGTTGTGGTTGTTGTTATTGTAAAATTAAGTACGCTGATTAAAAAGACCAGCAGGGAGCCAAATGCGAAATTCAATTTAATTTTGAATTATTTTTGTAAATTAACTGAATTACGTTTAGGTGTTGTCTGCTGGCCCACAAACTGGCATCAAAGTCAAGCTGTGACGCTTCATTCATGCATTTTAATTGGCCCTTTTAGGAATTGGTTAATTGGCCAATTGATACGGCCACATTCACCCAATTAGCCTGCCCAAAATGCTGTGTCAGTTAGTTGGCTAACAAAAAAACTTAACGCGCTTTTGGTTTCGAATTATAATTGTGTAATAAATTAAATTAGAAAACTATAAATTTGCAATTAAATGAAATAAATGTGCTAATAGCATAAAAACAAATGTGGCCAATTATTTATATTGGCCACAAGACTTACCGACTATTTGCTAAATGAATAAATTTGCCTCTGGGCTGTTTTTTTTGGCTTTAGCATTTTTTTCTCGCACGCCGCGTGTAAAAAATTATAAATAATTGTGGATAAATCGCGTGCAACTTTGTAGGATTACGGAATTAAGCACAAACGCACTCACACATATGCACACGTGTGTGTAATTCTATTATGTTATGTAAAAGTGGCAAGGACTGGCTAGCCGAAAAGTGAATACTCTTACTCTATACGATATGGCAATAGAAATAGTCAACTGAGCCTATTTCAAATGAAGTACTCAAATGAAATAAGCTAATTTTTGGCGATTAATACTCGGTCAGTAAGTGAACAGGGTATACAGATTTTGTGTTTCTGAAACGTAAATGAGTATTATACAATTGGATAAGCTGATTATGTTTATATGTTTCTATACTTATTTTAAGTAAGCTGACGTTATGAAACTGAAAATGTATTAACTTTTATTAAATCAATTAATTTGATAACGGCTTTTTGGCAATTTGGAATTATTAATAGGACTGGTCCACAGATCTCACTCTCATCAAACCTATGCTAAACATATTTACTAATGTCATTAATGTCACAAATACTGTCAGTATTATGTTATTGAACATCCAACATGACAAGCTAGTTAGGAATGTTATTCTAAAATTATGAAATCAAAAGTTTTGGCACATAAATTATTCTTGAATTCACCCTTAGTTTTAGTATGTAAGCTCGGTAAAAATTTGAGCAACAAGCCGTCTAAATTATCAGCGCTCCAACAGCTGAAAGAGGTGACAACTATTGTCGCCGATACAGGCGACTTTGGGGCCATAAATGTTTATAAGCCCACAGATGCGACAACGAACCCATCTTTAGTACTAAATGCCTCAAAAATGGATCGGTATAAGCCTCTAGTGCTGAAAGCGGTCGAATATGGTAAATGTGTTGATGGAGATCAGGAACGTCGTTTGGCGGAGGCTATGGATTATTTGTCTGTCTTATTTGGATGCGAAATTTTGAAAATAGTGCCTGGTAAGGTGTCCACGGAAATTGATGCCCGTCTGTCGTTCGATACGGCACAGAGTGTGGATAGGGCATTGAAACTGATTTCCTTATATAAAACTTTTGACGTATGCAAGGAACGTATTCTCATCAAACTAGCCGCCACGTGGGAGGGCATCAGGGCAGCCGAAATCTTGGAGAAGGAACATTCCGTTGGCTGTAATCTAACGCTTATTTTCTGCATAGCCCAGGCTGTAGCCTGTGCCGAGGCTGGCGTAACGTTGATCTCTCCATTTGTGGGCCGTATTTTAGATTGGCACATTGCGAATACTAAAACTAAGAAATACGAGCCCAATGATGATCCGGGAGTTATATCCGTACGTAATATTTATAACTATTATAAGAAATTTGATTACAAGACTCTGATTATGGGCGCTTCGTTTCGAAATGCGGGCGAAATCAAAGCTTTAGCTGGCTGTGATCTGCTGACCATTAGTCCAGCATTGCTCAATGAATTGGAAAATGATCAATGCAAGTTGCCCGTCCAACTATGTAAAGCGGCTGCCAAAGTAGGAAATTTTAAGAAAGTCTGTGTTAATGAGAAGCAGTTCAGATGGTTAATGAACGAAGATGCCATGGCCACGGACTTGTTATCAGTTGGTATACGAAAGTTTACATTGGATACGGTGAAACTAGAAAAGTTAATAAAATCGCTGATGTGATGTAATAATATTTGAATTAATTGAATTTGAATTATTTTTAACTTGTCAATTATTTATAAACTGTTAAACTAAAGAAAATTGGGTTTTTTGAAGTTCTCAGTCAGAAGACTTCTCATGAATAAGATTTCATTTCAGCTCTTAACTCTTTAGCTCATTGCACACATAGAGCAGACACATATAACTATTATTTATAACACACTGATATGATATTTCTTTTAGACAATAGACGTAAACATTCAGATATTGGTAATAAACAATGTACATATTGTGTGAACTAATCCAGTTAAAGTTCTCTACCGAATTGTACATGAATTAACTATGCTTAGTTTATGCTTAGATCTAAACAATTAACTTAGATATGCTCTCGCTTTCTCTGCTCTCGGCTCTGTCTGTGCGCCTGGCTGGTCTTAAGACCTTAATCTAACTTATCCATCTATGTACAACATTTAGCTCTATCTTGGGCTTAACTCTTTACTATCCGCTCTGCTTAAAATCTCACATAGCTAAAATCATTTGGATTTGGCACTGATGTCACCAACGACCCGCTTACCTCTTCCTCCATGGCTGAGGAGCATCTATTGATAGACGCGTTCTTCTCCAAGCTAAATGTATCCTCTGTGGTCTTATTGTACGTGGGATTCGAAAAGTTCATTGTGTTTCCGCGCTTTGGATACTGCCTTAATAGCCAATAGGAGGCCTAAACAAGAGCAAGATATTAGTTTCCCAATTGATATGAAATAAAAGCCCATTTGTACTTACGGCTATAACTAAGGTTACAGCTGCAACCGTTCCGATGATAGCAAAAGCTATTGTTTTGGAATTGCCCTCCGGCGGTGGCGCTGTCTCAGCGCTGTCTCCGTCCGCATGTGTCGCATTTACAAAGTTTCCAGCGTCTGAGCAAAGCAAATAGAATAAATAGAAATGAAGTTAGAAATTCAGTCAATAATAGACGTTCTCAAGTACCAGAACCCCAGCCACAACCAATAATTAAATACATATATAATATTACTAATCAATTCATATATATATCAACGAAGAATGAATGCATGAAAAATGAACTTAAATTAAAATACCTTTAACAAGATTTTACCATTGTTATCACATATCAAAGCTATTGAAATAGCATTTATATTTTATATTTTGACAATACTAAAATAACTAATTGAGCAATTCAACTACTATCGGAATTTTAGTTTAGTTTTGCCAGACAATAGCCTTTGGAATTTTCATAAATTCAGAGCTATTTGCTTTTTTTTTGTGTTGTTTATCCAACCGAAATATAATTAAAATATCTCGGTTTTTTTTTTGGTGAGCAGCAGCAACAGAGTCGACGACAACCCGTGGCGTATATTTCCTTTGTCTCTTCCTCAACAGCCACGCCCACTCTTCTGTCGGACTTCCATACTTTTTGTGTCACGCTTTTCGCCTTTTGTGAGCGTCGCTGTTCTTGTTGTTGTTGTTGTCTGTGCGGTAAAGGAAGTTGTAGGATTTTTCCGCTGTCGACATAATTCGTTTTCATATTTTCCGTTTAGAATTTGTTCAAAAGTTAAGCACACAGGACGCAGGACAGAGGACGTAGAACACCAAACGCGTTCGCCTGGCAAAGGATGTGCCGCATTTAACACAGCATTGCACGAGCTGTCGCGTCATCTTATTGTTCTTATTCCTCTCGTTGCTTTTAATAATTCTCTTTTTTTAATTTTTGGTCCACAATTTCCATGAACTCAAAGCTGGCCGCCCGCTGCTGCGGATCATAATGAAGGAGAATGTGACGCATATGGCAACGCCAGCAGCAGCAGCAGAAATTATCATTAAAAGTTGGCAGTGGCAACAGCTGCACAGCATCGATTGTGAGCGCCAAAGCGGACACACACACACACACGCACGCACAGTCGAACGCTTTCTTGGGGGAAGAAATTGTTGAGGTTGCGCAGCTACGAGGGCTTTATCAATTTATTTGGGGCATTAACAGACATTCAAGTGGCAAAAGAAGAAGCAGTTGAAAAGCTCTACGCATATTTGGCGCATTAATTGCACGTTGCCTTTGCTACAATATAAGCTTCTTTCAAATGGTCTTAGAAATAGGGCCAAACTCATCTTTTACTATAATTTAAATTCACCTTTCAACGCAGTTAAAAAGGCTGAGCAGCTGCTGTTGTCTAAGCAAAGATGTTCCGAAAAGCCATTTCGCTACTTGTGAACCTTTGTCTTGTGAATCAAAAAATTTTGAGGCCTTAACAAGATAGGAAAAGAATTGATTAAAAGTAAAACAAAAGTAAATATAGTAATGCAAGCTAATTTTATGAGCTCAATGTGAGATACTTTAAGAATAATTTGTTTAAATTTTTAAACAAAGTATGAATCTCTTTCTCCTCTCTTTTGCTTAATCTTTCTCTGTCGTTAATAATTGTTCACCGATCTACCATCCCTCTCTCTCTTTCTCTGTCCCTGTTTCTGTATCTTTATGACTTTTTCGTTCTATCTCTCCTCTTTCTCCTTCTCCCTCTTTCTCTCTACTTCTCTCTCTTTCTTCCTCTTTCTCTATCCCTCTCTATCCCTCTCTATACCTCTATATCTCCATCCCTCTCTATCCCTTTCTATCCCTCTCTCTCCCTCTTCCACTCTCTCGCCCCCTTTCTTTCTTTGTCTTTGTCTATATCAGTAAATAATTTTTTCTGTCTCTTTAAAATTTCATAAAATAAACTTTTTTGGGGAACATCTTGTTAGCTGCCTATTGTTTAGCTGCTCCACTTTGCCATATTTTATGTACTGCCATAAATGTCATATATTATTGCTTCTACCCTAATATATAGCAAATGGAATTTGCCTGCTTCGCAGCACAAAACAAAGTAATGTTCCCCCAATTTTTCTTGCCAACCCTCGACGTTTCTTTTTTTATAATTCGCCACATGTGTTTTAGATGTTTTTTAAAGAGCTCGTCAGACAATGGTTGCCAGCAGGTGTGCCGCTGTTCGTGTATCGTGTTGGGGGCTTACAAGGCCTAATGCCATAAAAATTCGCGACAAAAAGTTGCCTGTGAATAAATGAAATAAAATCGCATCAACTGCCCGCTCCTCTATGCAATGTTTTTATTTGTTCAAAGTGTGACCAGATTGCTTAAATAAAGACAGCATATATACATATATGATATATATATGTATATATATATTAAATATTTAATATCTGCTAGGCCGTCTACAGCAGAAATGTTGAACAATGCTGACCAATTGCAGTCATAAAATTTGCAAACAGCTGTTGACCCACACAGTAGGCACATCGGCCGTTGCAACACCACCTCCACCACCCTCCTCTTTCGCACCACACCCACTTTATGTGCTGGCTATTAAAAAGCCAGTCGTTACATTCGACGGCTGCCAAGTTTATGACGTTTCTGTGGCTCTCTCTCTGTCTCTCTGTCTGTCTGTCTGTCAAGCTGTCCGCCGCGTATTTGCGGAACTTTGCCTGTGCTTAATTAAGCAATTTGAAGTGCGGCAAAGGCGTGGTGAGGCGGATTTTTCTGAAATGTAGGTAGGGGCTGGGACTGGGGTTGGGTGGCGCTAGCGGTGGGTGTAACCATAGAAAAAGTAGCACAAACCGCTAATTGAAATTGCAGTTATGGCCGACATGCCCGTTGCCTTGGCTTGGTCATCTAATTGAAATAGTCCATAACTAGTTTATAGTTATTTACTTGAAGCACGACCCCCTGCCTCTAGCTACCCTTCGATGTGCTACAAACTTTTCTAAGTACTCAGCACTTGCTGTGCGTCCGTCTGGCCACGATTCGCTGTGTGGTCCTTAACTGCTCTCGTCATTTTCTTGGAATTGTATTGCAGTCACCCTCAGACCTGGCCCATCGGGCATTGTAGCTGTATTTGCTTGAGCCGCTTAACGATTTCTGCTTTTTCATCATCTCCTCCCGCAGCTCTTTTTCTGCTCTTACTTTTAAAATTGACGTAATTAGGCGCATTTTGTATGGTCGCCCACTGCTAAGCAGTTGATCTGTGCAGGCAAAGAGAAGCCAGCAACTGCTTGACCAACAATGCTGGCCATGCTTATGTATCAACAATGGTCAAAGTTGCACTGAAGATTATGAGCAAGCAACATTAAGTATGCCAATGAAAAGAATATTTAAAATGGAACTACAATTGATTTCTGCAAAGGACTAAACAAGATAGTCAGGATATGAGCTTCAAGAGATTTAAGATGGTCATCTGACAGTTTATGTCGTGAATCTTAAGTACTTAAGACTAAGTGGAAAAAAACAATTTGATGAGGAAAAGAAGCCTTAGAGTTGCCAATTAACATAATATAATTTGAGTTATTTTTAATATTAATACTCATCAATTTATCTAATTAAGATTACTAATTCAATCAATTTATAGACTAGACTAAATGCAGTCATAGTCATAGTAATGACAATTTGACAATTTCGTTAGGCAAGTTGGCAACTCTACGTCAGGTGCTTGATTATTTCGTTAAGCCTCTACTCTTAATAAACATATTTTAGTGATATCAGCCAGACTACAAGCTAAGAGGCTATAAATACATTTTTACTCAACACGATTATACTTTTAGCCATATAAAGCAACGCAAACACAATTGCGACTTGGAGACAAATTGATTTTGCTTTATTAAAAATGTTTGCTCACAGAAAACACAGAAAATACTCCACATTTTATTTGCATACATCAAAAGTAAACATTTGTACGTGTTTCTGTGCTTATTTCTGTTTTCCGGAAATGTCATGCAAATACAAATTGTTCTTTTTGTCTCCAATGTTGTGGGCTGACAAAGGCTTTCATGCCATTTCATCAATGGCTGAAAACGACTTTGTGCTCGTGTTAAATATGAAGCAGAACTAATTTCTAATTGCGCTGATTACCGCGCTGCTACCGAGACAATCGACTGAAATTGCGTGATAAATCAATGACTGCATATTTGGCACGCTTGCGTTGCATATTTTTGATAGGCACTGTGTAAATGTATGCAGCCACCCACCCATTTATCTCAGTCTTCATAGGCACAGCTGTAGGTGTTGACAGTGCCAATATTCGCGCTGATGGATGTGGCGGAGTGTGCGGCTGATGCGGATGATGAATTTCTGGTTAAACTATTTGCTCCACCAAGGCCCCCTTTCATCCCATCGCTACCCCCTTTGGCTAGCTGAGCTGCTGTTGTCCATGTCGTTTTGTGTACAATTTAATTTCATGGCGATTTGTTGAGCGAGGACACGATGAGTACAAGTCAGGCAGCCCGTCAGCCAACTGTCACTCATATATCACTCGCATTCACATCCGCATTCGCATTCACATTCGCATTCGCATTCGCATTCGCATTCGCATTCGCATTCGCATTCGCATTCGCATTCGCATTCGCATTCGCATTCGCATCCGCAATGTCAACGCTTGTGACAGAGAGCTGGCGCACAAATTGCATGCAGAAATTCGCTGGGTGTCAGTGTCATAGGGTTGTCGCTTAAGCTTAAACAGCCTTTGAGCTTTGGGTGAGCGTGTGTGTGTGTGTGTGGAGGTAGGGATCATGTTGTGGGTGGCAACCATTGTTGCCATTAAACATGTCACTAGCGTTTCCTTTTTGGTGGTTTATGCCCCATCCAACCGCAATATTTATGTACGTTTTACGTGAAAGCCCACACCATGGTAGTGTGTGTGTCCGTCTGTCTATGTATGTGTGTGTGTGTGTGTGCATTTTGAGTGATTATGTCGATATCATTGATGTTGATTTATGATGATGACATGTGAGTGTTGGCGCTGTATGGAATTGGCGTGACAAATAGCATACAAAATTAAAAGAGAGAAAGAGAGAAAAAGACAGACAGAGAGGGACAGAAAGGTAGCTGAAAATAGAAAAATCTGAATGGAAGAAGAAGCATTTACATACGCATAAACGTTGTGTAAATAATTCGTGGACATCAAAGTATGACATTAAGTTATGAGATTGCAAAAGCAATCGAGCATTTAACAAATACATTAATAATGATAGACAATTAGATATACTTGGTGCGAAGAGTAAGCAAATCTGAAGTAATGGATTATAATAATTAGCATAATTTGTAAGCGAAGCAAAAGAGAGAGCAGCAATGATGGATTATAATTAATATATTGGTAGCTAGCAGCTGGTCTATGGAAATATTAGCCAACACCTGAGAAGTGTGCGTTACCAGAGGAAGTGATAGGATTGACTAGTAGATACTCTACACATAAAAACTAGACAGCTTTTTGGTCATCTGACCAACGCACACAGACACACATTCTTAAGCTATGCACTTAAACAACAGTCCAACACCTCAGAATTGAAAGGGAAACTCATACCAGTCGATAAGCTGGGCGCATCTTGAGGTAGTTTGGCGAATGTTTGGTTTGGCTTCGCAAGTTTCACTTGTGTCGTCGTTGTATTGAAGCGCTTGGAGGGCTTTACGGTGCGTATACGTACTATGGAATCAGGTTTAAAGTAGAGCAAAATATCATTTCAATAAATGTAAAGTAAAATGAAAATGATGAACATAAAATTAAAATGCAAAAGAGCAGATGTTAAAGGCCTTAATAAGGCTCAGCTACATTGTCCTGTGATGGGCGCAACCACAACAGAGACATGTCGGCAGGCAACCGCGAATGCAACGGGCCGTGCTGGCAATTACAGCTGCTGCTGCAGCTGCTACTGCAGCTATATCCATCGAATGGATTTTCGAAAGAACACTAAGCCCCACACTCGTCCACAAACAAAAAGGATAATTGGGAAAGCTACTTACGATCTTCGACGCACATAAGACCATCCGGCATGAGCTTGAGACCCGTGGGACAGGCGCAGGAGATGCGCGGACTGCGCTCGTTGATGCGGGGTGCAGGCAGACACAGATGCGAGCAGTGTCCATTTACTGATTGGCAATGATTAATGCCATCGGGCTGGCGATAAGGATGATACACATGGATGACCATGGGGTGCTGCAACTGTGAGGAAGAGAGAGATCGATGAGTAGAGAAGAGGCTCAGTCATTGGCTGTGGCTTACCATGTGAACAGCTGTGATAGGCTCTACGTCTTGTCCAGTAAATTTGTTAGCCTTGAAGACCGTCTGCTTGTCCCAGTCGGTCCAATAGATGTAATCCTCGAAGGTGCTGATGGAGAAGGGATGTCGCAGATACTCAGTCGAGTACAAGATCTGTCTGCGCTGCGAGCCATCGTAGTTGGCCGAGGAAATTATATTCAGCTTGCCATCCACCCAGTAGATGCGCTTCCTCACCAGATCCAAGGTGATGCCATTAGGCCACTTGACGTCATAGTTGATGATCGTCGTGCGATGGGAGCCATCCATGCCGGCGCGTTCGATGCGCGGCGAGGCACCCCAGTCGGACCAGTACATCCAACCCTCAATGGGATCGAGAGCTATGGAGCGGGGAATATCGAGCGCGTCCTCAATCAGAACTTTGCCCATGTTGCCATCAAAATTGGTCAACTCGATGGTGCACTTATGAGTGTCCGTATAGTAGACATGGTTATAGATCCAATCGACAGCTAGGCCATCCGAGGTCACTGATGATTTCTTCAGCACGACAGTCTTCTCGTTGCCCTCATCGATGGGCGCCTTGTAGATGCTCTGGGTGTTTACATCACTCCAGAAGATCATGCCCGTACGGAACACAAAGTCCAAAGCAGTGGCCGCCTTGGTGTTGTTCACAATGGATGTGATTTCCATGTGATCTAAGGCAATCTTTCGTATGTCGTGACGACGTGCGAGCAGGAGTGAAGCATGTCCCTCTGTTGCCTTGCAGCGCGTGCGATCATGCGAGTCTCTCATGTAGCCCGCTTCGCATTCGCACTTGAAGCCTCCGACTTCATTGACGCAGATCTGGGAGCAGACGCCCGGCTCTTCGCATTCATTGATATCGGCGCAATGATGGCCATCGCTTGTTAGCTTGTAGCCATCGTTGCACTCGCATCGGTAGCCCAACGGCTGATCCACACAGCGATGCATGCAGCCGCCGTTTTTGGAGTCGCACTCGTTTATGCCACATTTGTTCGCCGGCTCATCCTCACCATCGGGACAATCCTTGCGCCTGTCACAGACCTGCGACAGGGCAATACACTGTCCGCCTCCACAGTCGAATTGGCTGCTGGCATTGCAGCTCTTGAGTTCAGCTGTGATCCGGCAGTCGCGTTCATCGCTGCCATCGGCACAATCCTTCAGTCCATTGCAAGTGAGGTGTCCGGCAATGCAGCTGCGATCGCCGCACTGAAATTGATCCGGCCGGCAGGTGATATTTCTGCAGTTGGACATCTGCTCGTCGTCGCCGTCGGGACAGTCGCGGTCGCCATCGCAAACCCAGCTGTGCGGCAGGCAGGTGATGCGATCTTTGCACTGAAACTCGAGCGGTTGGCAGGGCGTTAAAATCTGTGATACAGTGCCGCAATTCTATGGGGGAGACAGAGGGAAAGGAAGAGTGAGATAGAAAGATTGAGTGAGTGCGGAGTAGTCAATGAAGTAGTTTATCTGCTGTGCGTATCTGGTTTTAAACGCATTTTACAAAGGGAACTTTTCTTGAAGTATGCCATAAAAATCAGCTACTATAAGGCATACTCAAACACACACACACAAACCCACATCCGTCCATATATATGATTTTATGTACTCTTTGCATAAGGACAGTTGCTTGCCCTGGCGCCATGGCTTTTATATCTTTTGTTGCATACTCCGCAGGGGCGGGTGATGACACACAAAATTGTTCACATTTTTTACGCATAGTTTTTCATCCCGCTATGCCCTGTACTTTATTTGAGTGGCTAAGGCAGACTATAGGTTTTCTATTTTACTTGGGACAAGGTATCATCCAGTCGGGCAGTCTCAACTGCAAAGCATTTTTAGACATCGCTTGGCTCCTTACTGCTCACATAAATGTTGATGGCAGCAGTTGCCAGTTGACGTCGACGTCGCCAGTGTTGAGTAATACGCGTGTGTTGCATAATTTATGCTAGCATATGCAGCAAGGGCTGCTTCGAAAGTTTACCAGACAAAATAAAACTGATTTTCCACTAGTTTTGTATGTGTTGTAAAACAAGTTTTTTGTAAGTTTCGGACTTAAAGTTGTTAAGTTGTTGAGCAACCCTCGCACACGTGTTGAGATTTACTTTAAACTAGTTTTATAAACTGTCAAAACTTACGCGCTCATCGCCACCATCCTCGCAATCCGGTTCGCCGTCGCAGACCCAAGTCTTGCTGATGCAGCCGCCATTGCTGCAGGTGAACGAGGTATCTTTGGGGCATTCGATTTTGGGACAAGCGACCTCATCGCTGCCATCGCCACAATCGTTGTCCTGATCGCAGACCCAGCGCTTCTGGATGCACCGGCTATTCTTGCACGTGAACTCATCCGAACGGCAAGTTGTATCTACGATTCAATCGAAATATATATTAGAGACACTTAGTGCGAGCTTTGGGGTTTGTGTGCGGGTGTGAGAGAGAGGAGGATTCGGCCGAGTGTACTTATGGGGATGAGTGCTTCTGTTAACATGAACGCTATGGTTAACTACTGTCGAGAGTTAGATAAACAATACAAAAAAGCAGCAGCAACTGAAATATGCGAGACATAACTCAACAAAACCAACACCATTATAAAAATTGCCAACGCAACGCGTCAAGGGATAAAAACTAAAGAGATTTGTTGCTACAACAACAACTACAACAAAAGCATTACATGACTAAAGTATGTAGCTATCTGTGTGCGTGTGTGTGTGTGTGTGTGTGTAAATATTTGTGCTCTGTTGCATCTGTATTGTTTTGGTAAGCATTACACAATACTTGCAACAATGTGTAGCATACTTATGGGCAGCATGATGAAGTATGTACAAGCACAAACACAAACACAAACACAGACACACACACACACACACACACACACGCAAACTAAGCACACACTATTACAGCTAAAACTTTAGTTACAGTCTACAAGCAAGGTACAGTTAGGTTTGGAACAATTTTTTAGGTATGGCTTACTGCACGTGGCTTCGTCACTGCCATCGCTGCAATCTTTGCTCTGATCGCACATCCAGGCGAGTGGTATACACTCGCCCTCGCCGCTCTTGCAAGCGAACTCGTCGGGGGAGCACGTTTTGCTCTCTGCAATATACAAATAGATGTTGGAAGAAGCATGGAGTTAGTACTGGATATGATGATGGGATGCAACAAGACAGATGTAGCTTCTACATATAATTTGTTGCCTGTCAATTTGACTTTTGCGCTATATTTGATATCAAAAATACGATTCAGTGCAAATGGATCGATTTTTATAGATATACATAGATAACATTGAGAATTTGTTTCTTTAAAATGCATATTTTTAATATTGAACATTGATTTAGAAAAATAACTTTAATCTGCGTTGATTAAAAAAAATAAAATCTTGTTTGTATATCAAAAATCAATGAAAGCTCGAATCCTGTGCAGTGGGCATGCTCGATGGAAGCATGTATTCCACACACACACACACACACACACATTCACATCCACTTACGAGCAACAAAATAGCTGTAAAAATTGCCTAAAGATAAGCTCGGTAAAATTTTTGCCGACTCAAACCATGGTTGAATGGGTGGTAAATATCAAGTGGCTGATAAACTGCGTTACAGGCCTCTTGTCTTTGTGTCGAGTGGCTTCTAACTGTCTGTCTAATGGCGCTGCTCAGTTGAATCTTTGATTACTGTAGCCATGGCACTTTAAGGGGCGACGCCGTAAAGTATGCAACAGACTTAAAAGGCGTCTTCCTGTTGCCTGGCACTGTAATTAAGTTTATAAGACGGCAGCAGAAATTGAAGTAGAAGTCCAATTGTGGCTGGCACATGCCAGCCAAGTAATAAACATAGTTGTCATGCCAACACATACACACATGCACACACACTTGCGCATTAGGAGATATGGGGCAACTGGAACTGAAGTTAAGCGAGCGGCATTTTATCTAGGCAGTAATTAAGACATTATCAGCCAACACTCCATAAAGTTAAAACGCACACATGCGCACGCATTAAAGCAATTATCACACACAACACAAACGTACACACCCACGCACACACACACAGACACACACTTGCATGCTGATAGAGGCAGCCAGCTTCAGTGAGAAACTTTCATTGAAGTTTTGCCAGGCGTACATTTAACAGACATCACACAGAGACACACACACATACACACACCCCCCTTCGCGCCCAATCGACACATCCACACATAAAAACGTTTGTGTTTAACCCTAAATACGTATTATTTTTTCTTGGTTTTTGTTCTTGTTTCCTCCCGCTAGGCGCGTGAACTGAATGTCCTTTGTTTTGGTGCGGCTACGCTTGATTTTTCTTGATAAGATTATGTAATTCCTGCTGTGTGTGCGTGTGCCACAGGCTATAAAGGCTCATAACACCATATCACACACATGCACACACAGCTATATATACATATAAATATGCTTTAGCTGCGCTGTAAGCAGCGCCAAGAAAAAATATTTTTTGCAATTTTTCCCCTTTACTTTTTTGGTTTTTGTTTTTTGGGCTTCAACGTCGTTGCAAATAAATTAATTTATTATTATTTTACGCTTTGTTGCTTGATATTATTTTTGCATGCGCAACGTGTCGTATGCGTGATATGACTTAAATTGGTATTTATTGCAGCTAGAGAGCGCGCACGAGCGTGCTTATATATTTTTGTTGTTTTCGCACAGGAGCTCAGCTTGAATCGCACGCTAAACGTGAAGCTGGAGTGTGTTGAAAATTGTTTGTAAAATGTAAAAAAGTTAACACAGATTGACATGACTCGTATTTAAATGAAAGCCGTAGCATGTGTGCAGTCTGTTCAATGCATTGTCTTCAGCATATTTAGGATTAAAATTGAAACTGAAAAGCTGAACGAATCAGAAATGCTAACAATATACAAAAACTTCAATAAAGCCAATTTGAAGCGGAAAGTGGCAAAAACTGAATGTGAGCAACTATTTCGCGAAAAATGATAGAAATACTTTAACTAACGCATTTGCTAGTCTGGAATTTATGTGTGCACAAAGAAATGTTAATTATGCGCAAATTTGCGTATATATATATGTATATATTGCGTATGCGCAACGTTATTATATTTTCATTAAACTGATTATAACGCTTGCTAGTGGCAGCTTGAACTCTGTCCATTTTCAGCAACTATTTTGCTGCGCACTAAATGTGGTCCAGTAGCTGGAGCAGGGCTAGAAAATGCCGCCCACTTGAGTCTTGGTTTGGCTTCGCCTGCCATACGCCATAGCAAAATCAATTTGTTGGCTACAATAAATAGCTCATAGCAGCTTGAATAGTGTATGCATACACACACGCACACGCACTCCCAATCACACAGAACTTTTGTATTGTATTCAATAGCATTTTGCAGTTATCTGCCGCCTGCTTTGAGCAAGTCAAGCCCTGGCTCCAGAGCCACTATGCGAGCAATTTGATTTTAATTTTATTTAAAATGCTTTTAGTTTATGCTCGAGCCGTACAGTTGAAGCCCCCGCTGTGTTCCCATTGTCATTGCAAGCCTCCATTCAGGCACTCCACATCAAAGAAAAGACATCACAGCCAATGAAGTTTAATAGCTTTGCTCAGCTGCAGTTTGCTTTTTTCTTTCTTTTTCTTTTCTTTTCTCATTTTACTCTCACAATAAACTATAGTTGCACGCGTCACATGGCAGTTATTCTTTGCCTCTATTTAGCGGCAATCTAATAACAAAAAGTTTTCTTTGTTATTTTTTTTAGTTCCTTACCGAGAAGTGTTCGTTAATATTACACGAAGCCACAAAAAATCGCAAACGTATGTACTTTAAATAAATATAGTTTCTTCAATTCATGAAATATCATATTTCAGCTATATATAATGATGCTTAAATAGGTAGCTCCAAGTCAAAATGTTCATCAAATAAAACAGTAATATTAGAAACGGAGCCAACAATAAAATACATTTTTGTTATCGTTTTTTGTATCTCAATTATATTTTGTCAAATTTTCAGCAGAAGCTGCATTCTTGAAATCCTGTTCAAAATATTTTTATCTTTTGTATATGTTAAACAGCAGCGCGTGTTCCTCAGGAAAATGTCACGATAGTCTATCAAAAAATCCTGTCTCCCGTATCTACATTTTTTTTTTTTTTTTTTTTTTTGTGGGGGCACGTTAAACTTCAATTAACATTCACAACGTTGCCAACGATATAAAAAGTTAAAAAAAAAAAACAAGTATCGTTGAAAAATACTTTTTTTTTCGAGGCGTATAAAAGCCATAAAATGTCACACGTGTTCAATGGCGAGTAGAGCAGTATGGGAGTATGAGAGTGAGTATCCTGTGAATCCTGTGCATGTTCAATTTCTGTTGAGCCTTGCTCTGCCAGTCAGTTTGGTAGCATATAAACCACAGGCAGAATTTTCGCGCCATTTCCCTTTATACACATATAAATATATACGCACACAAATATATATATAAAAATATATATATATATATATATATATATATATATATATATATATGTATACATGTATGTTTTGATTACCAGTTTTTATTTCAACAAGCTTCGCTGATGAGTTACGAGTGGATAACATCATAAAAATCTCATCATTTTTTTTCAATTACAGCGCGAATGAACAAAAGAAATAAAACGCGTATAATAAAAAATGCGAAATTTGATGTGGCATTAATAGTTAGTTGAATGCGACACGGACTACAAACTGCGAAATAAGTTGCCTCGAAAATTGCGCTGATAACGCCCAAAGGCATGCTATGATAGAAAGGTTTCCAGTTGAGCGAGTTGCTCAACTGACAAATGCCCTGTCATATATATAGCATATAAAGTGTATTCATGTTTTTAGATGGAAAGAATTGTGAAGGAAATGAGTTTCTTTTGCTCTTCAACTTAGTGAACAGAATTCTAATTTCAGACAGATTTCATCATACACTATAATGTTCTCAGATCAAAAATTATTATATAACAAAATCATGAACAAACTTCATATAATTGTGTTGGACGACTGACAAACTGTTATGAAATTTGTCGCCGGATGACGCTGTTTTTCCTGTGGCTGAGCCTAGTTGATAGCCTACTTAGTATTGCAGGGTATGCGAGTTAGCAGGGTTTAACATTTCGGTGGGCTTGTTAATGCATAAATACAAATTATTTCCGCTGTTGGCAGCATTTTTGATGCGCACGTCGTGATGTTTTTTTGCGTAGTCCTTTGACGTTAATTTATGGACAAGTCGGCCCAAGTTGTAGGATCGTACGCCCGCCCACCCTCTACTCATAAAGTATGAGATACATGACGGCTTAGGGCGTGGAGGATAGGGGATATACATGGCATGCATTGAAATAAATATCATGCTTTAAATGCGACTTTATGAGCCTTTAAGTTATGAAACCCATTTGCTTAGCGAGTGAGAGTGTTTCTTATTTTCATTCCTCTGATGCTGTTTTTGTTGTTTTAGTAGGGCAGCGTAAATCCTCCGGGTTAGTAGGTATGTATGCAAATTTGGCTATAACTTTTTTGCTTACTACACTCTAATTCGTCGGAGCCATCGCGACAGTCGGGGCTCCCATCGCAAATCCAACTGCGCGGCAGGCACTGCTCCCCATTGTGGCATCTGAAGGTGAAATGGTTGCACGCGTTCACTGCACAATTCGAGCTGAAATTTGAGCAACCCAATCCCAAGAGACTACATAAAGGCATAATACTTACTGCAAAGGCCTGGTGCCTCATCGGAGCCGTCGGCACAGTCGCTCTCACGATCACAACGCCATTTGTTGGGTATGCACATGCCGTTGTTGCAGCGGAACTGTTTAACGCCGCAAGTGGATTCTGCAAATGTACAAAAATAAAAATATATTGAAAATCTTTGCTTTCAATATGGCAGCCAATTTTGCATCGCCGGCAGGGCCATACAATTTATGTAAAAGGGGGCAAAAAACTGCGACCATAGCGCACCAGCATAGTCCACCTAGAGATACTCCTCAATAATTATATTTTTATATAATTCCACATAATTTAGAGCTGTTTCTGCACAAAACTATTTTGTATTCGGAACATATATATATATATAGAAAATATTAGAATATATATAATAATTTATATATATATATATATCAAATTTATATCAAAATTTATATATTAAAATGTATATATATATATTGCATATCTAAGTGACAAGTTCCGCCTGTACATGCCCTTTGTTATCAACTTTGAATAGTCACAGGGTATACAAAATACTGATAATGGCTTGCCACTAAAAATATGAAGAATATGAGCATGGAAAATCAACTTTTTTATGCATCAATAAGTTTCTGTGTCAAAAATAAATGTGATTTTTATGTTGCGGGCTGTGTTGATGCCACGGGCAACAAAAACTTGCCACTTGCTGTGATTCTCTGTATAGTGTATATGTGGGTATATGTGGGTGTGTGGTTGCTGTCTTTACTACTGCCGAGTGTTCCTTGGGTGAACTTTTTTTTTATAGTTTAGTTTTGCCATTTTATGGTCATTTTATTTTACGACTTGCAAACGAAATTTTCAGCAGAGCTTAAAGACAATGCAAAAATTAAATTGGATTTTGAGCATTTGTGCATAGTGGAAATTAAAGAAATGAGCCATAAATGTGCTGAGATCGATACCCTTTTATCAAAGATTATTTGCAACGTCAAAGGAAAGGCTTTAAAAATAAAAATGAAAAAATTAAAGGAACTTAGAAAATTTCAGTTCAGTTTCGACTTAGACTCAGGAGCCAAGCCAGCTTCTATAATTTAATTAAAGCAAATTGGATTCGGCATGCATGTCCTCATGGGTTGTGTTCCAGATTTTCAGATTGAAGACTAAATGCTATGCGAGAGTGCCTTATAAATATAGAGTGTTTGAGTTGCGTTTGCAATTAAAGTGATCTAAATCCATTAACATAACGACAAATGGAACCGAAAACTTTGCCAAAACTGCAACAAAGTTCTCATAAGCAACTTATGCAAAGCAACAAATTTTCTTAAAAGCTCCGCTCAGCTGAGCTCAGCTCTACAATTTAGTCAACTTGCCATCGGTGACTGAGTGCAGCAAACAACTTGCTTGACAACTATTTCCACAAAATATTTTTAAGTCCTCTTTTCCATTCCATTTAATTTAGTTTTATTTTTTTTAACAACTTAAGAGCGGAGCGTGCTGCATCTCATCTGCATATTGTTGGCTAAAATGTTGCACCTTTTAGCAGTGACTGCACTCAATTTAACGCTGTAGCGCAAATGAATGCGCCCTCGACAGACGTTTGAAATTTGGTTGAGCTTTAAGTCCAATGATGCCAACTATAACTGGGAGGTGGTGGGCGAAAGCCATTCCCTTCGGACCAGTCTCCGGCTGGCAGCCATAAACTTTTGCGCAACTTTTGTGTGTGTTTCTCATGGAGTCCCCCTCATCGACCCTTTCCGCATTGCGAAAAATGCGCATCACGTTCTGCGTTTGGGGACTTTGCAACGTTCCTAACGTATTTACCTAGCAGCGGCATTTAGCGCCAACATTAAACAAGGATCGACTCAGAAATCAGCCACAGTCAGTAGCTGGATAGCGCCACGTCTAGCCTTTAATGACCAGACCCAGCATAGGCATGGGGACATGTAGTTAAATATTTTCGAAATTAATCAAATTTTCATAATCAAATTTTTTGGCTGAAAAACAAACACTCCTTTAGGACTAGACTACGGAATTGAGCTGTAAGTCATGAAATGCACTTGATTTGCGAGCGTTATCAATATTTAATTATCAGTCTTTGCTAATGATTAATTATTTATAAGAAAAGCTAAAAGTTGCGAAAACATGTTTTTTTCCTTTGGTTCTATGAATTCTAGACATTGTTGAAAATATTTTAAATTTATTGAAAACTTTGTTTTTAATTGCATTTAAAATGAATTTTAGAATGAATTGTTTTAATACTTTTGTGTTAAATTTGAATTTGAATTTATTATTATTTGTAAAATTAATTAAAATTTTTTGAATTATTTAAATCATTTTATATATTTTATAAAAATATATATTTTATAATATAAAATAATTTAAAAATTTGAACAATTATAAAAAAGTTTAATTTTAATTGTAATTTTTTTATTTTAATTGAGCTTTCAGAAACACCTTAACTACGTTTCCTTAAATTTCTTATATAACTCTCTCTTAAGAATTCCATTAAGATTTTGTTGTCTAGTGTCGTTGAATATAAATGTAGTGTGATGGTGGAGACATGAGACATTGTATATTAACGAGAGGCTAGACTTCTAGGCAATTCGCAAAGCTATCCGCTTCTCTCTCTCTCGCTTTCTCTCTCTCACTCTCTTTCTGTACTCTGTTCTAAGCTAGCTATAAAATTGTGTTTGCCAATGGCAAAGTCTCTGACGCTCAATTTCCGAGATTTGTGTTTACATTTTTTCAAGCTCAATTTTTTCTTTATGCGTAATTATTTATTTATGACTTAATAGACTGACAGCTGAGGCCTCTAAATGTCACATACATCTAGCCAAGCTGACATTCAGTGTGTGTCATTCAATGCATAAGCAAACAGACATTGGCCTACGTCGCATGCAGCATGCCGCATGCCGCATATTTCCCATTCCCATTCTACCTGCCATGTCCAATGTACGCCCACTTTTCGCACATTCTGTTTATATTTCTTGCGTTTCGTTTTGCTTTTAAACAAAGCTCATAAATTTACGCTCGTTTTTGTTACGCATATTTATTATGTCGCTCGCGCGCTCTCAGCTAAAAGCATGCCGTGCATACACACGCCCACTCACATATATACAGATATTTTCGTCGCATGCCACACCCCACGCGAATCACTGCGCCGTCCAGGTGCAAACTTCATTATTTACAGTCTGACGCGTCGCGGCGACGACAACGTGGATTATGTGCCACTTGGCGAGGCAGAAAGGACGGGGGCGTGGCAGCATTGGGGCGGCAACCTTTTAATTCTAATACAGATGGGAGCTGACAACAACACCTGCACCACTACCAACAACAACAGTAAAAGTAACAGCTGCGGCAGCTGCCAGTGATTTGCATTATCATGCATTTTATGCAATTCGTTTACGCTCTGGCATTTCGCTGCTCGTCTTTTTGCATGATAATGAATTGCACTTTGGTACACCTATTAACTACCGCGTATGTGTGCGCCGGCTTATCACCTGGCTTTGATTTGAGTGCATTGCACGGCGGGGGTTATCAATGCAACGGCCACAGTAGCCTCAAGGTTGCCAACAACGTACCCAAGTCAAATAAGTTAAACATGAAAAAGTTACCACACACAGACACTAACACATACACTAGCCCACACACACGCTCAGACACACATGCATGGCCAAAAGTCATGCAAAACTTTTGGCACACTGCAACTTAACTGCCACACCCCCACGCCCCCTTTCAGCGACTCTCTGGACGCTCATTTACAGCGCCCGGCTGAAAGCCATAAAAAAGTTATCTTGTCGCACAAAAAGTGTTCACAAGGCAGAGAAATAATAAAAAATAAAAAAAAAACTTCTTGTCTTTTGCGGTCATCCATCGATTTAGCGCATTAAAACTTTGCCCGAAATTTCCCACTTCCCATTTTCCATTTGCCTTTCAATATTTGGCTTTTACAATATCTGAGCCACTTTAAGCTGATTGAATTTTCAAATTTGCTATATTATTGATATTCTACGAAATAATTTTAGAAAAAAGCTAATAAAATTTAACGCTGCTTGACTAAATAATGGAGACTAAATTAATATAATATATAATAAAAATAAAAAGATTGTATAATAATTGCTTATTTAACTGTTTTAAGTTGAGATATTTTAAATTTATTTTTGATATTACAAAATCTAATTAAATTCGTTTTTTAGAAGTTCTGTTTAACGCAAATAAATTTTATTTTCATCGTACTTTAGACTTGATCTAAAGCTGGAATTATTTTCCTTTGGATCCCTTGCCTTTGGCTTGTCTAATTGAGAAATGTTTATCCACTGAATTTGAGCCGGGCCGCTCCATTAATGAAGTTTCTCTGACTTTTTCTTGAGATTATTATTGTTGTTGTTGGGGCACCGGACAAACATAAATTGAATTGTCTGTTTCATTTAAAAGGCGGAAAAAGAAAGCAAACGTGCACAAATTTCATGTTCGTCCTTGTTGTTCGCACTTTATCAACTTTTGCTTTGCGCTTTGCCTTCGCGCCTCAATAAATAAATGAAAAATCTTTGTAGGGACGATTTTTCCTTTCTGCCATTGTTTACAATTGTTGCCGTTTGTTGTTGCTACGCACAGCAGGGTGTTTCCTATATAGCCAAAGTATACTAAAAAAGGCTCGTCCTGACATTCCCGCTTGTTGTTTATGGCACCTTTTTCACTTTATTGGAGTTGTGTTCTGTGCTTTGTCTTCAGCTTCAAGTATTTCAATATAAAAAAACGCAAAACAAGAGTTTTTTTGTTTTTTTTTTTTTGCGGGTTAAGGGGTGCATCATAAATCATTTGAAGAGGCGCTTGGCGTGAGCTTTGAGCGCAGACCTTACTCCCTAATGAGACAAACTTTTTTACATATGCTCGAATCTGTTTGTTGTTGTTGTTGCTGTTTTAACTGTTGAATGACCATAACAGATAGCGAGCCATTGGCAGCGCAAGTCCGTTAAAATTGCATTTAAATGCCTGGACAATTTATATGTTAAATAAAAGCTGCGACCCGGAAGTGGAAAGCTTAAGCAAATTGAATTGAGTTTTGGCAAATTTCGTTGCTGTTGCTGCTGGTGCTGCTGCTGCTGCTGCTCCTGCTGGGAGCTGCTTAGCTATTTAATGCTCGGAAATAATAA